CATGGATGCCGCTAATATCCATACACACACTCAATTCAAAGATTATTTTTACTGTGCAAATCGTACCATGAGGGAGGGTGACACTTAGATGGATTAAAACACATGACGTAATAGTTATCTGTTATGTGGCGTATATCCGCCGGGCCATCACCCCATATTTACACATTTGGCAGTCACAGCTCGGCAGCTATTGCCAAAAAACCTATTATGTTTTGTGTAAAATGAATCTGCCCTTTGTAATTAAACAGTATGAGAGAGAAAAGAAAGGGTAAATCAACCTTGAGACAAATGCAGCTCACAGGCCTCCCTATACTCTGTACTGTATGCAGTAAAACCCCACTAGAATGATTTCTGTTGTAGATGTTTGCCCAACAACCCCCCTTTATTTGCAAATTTCTAGTTTAACTCTCCCATGACCTAACTTATTTTCACACATTTAGCAAAAAATTTTAAGTTTTTTAAACAATGAAAAATAGTTAATAGTTAATTAGCAAACAAACAAAAAAAAAAGAATGAATCTCTCATGGTAGGATGAGAGTGCTAGGGATGGAAAAAAGTGGGACTTAAAACAAACTATTACACAATGCACTTTAATCCAGGCCTCTGGGAAAGGACAAGGCTAAGAGTTATTAAAAAGATCCAGAATGTTTTTCCACATAAGTGATATTAAAAACCGAGCCGATGCTGTACATGATTTGGATTTATATGTGATTTGCATTTAGTTGTCAAAACATTCTGTAAATACAAGCCGTTTGGATTGAGTGCAGGGGTGCTTTGAATATTATTTGGCTACATAACCTGACCCAGTGGTGTATGACGGCTGGTGATTCACAGCAGAAGAGAAAAGGTTATAGAGCTCCATCTACTGGAAAGATTGGAGAGGTACACTATGATTTGTCTTAACACAGAACAACGTCCCTCATTAAATGTTTACTTGTCAGTCTATAATGTCATCAGGACATATTTAAAGAAAGCACACTTCCGTCTAACTCCATACCCGTTTTCTTTTCATTTCAAACTTGTAGTCTTTAAACTCAAATTACATCACTTGAAGCAATTTATCAATATATATAAAATATTCCTTGCAATTTTGTCCTTGTGAAAAGCATTTAGGTCTTTCAGAAAGCTGTATTGACAGTTAGTTTTTAATGTTTTGAATCCAAATTTGTAATTTGGATGTGCTGATACATCTTCTTTCTTTGTATTATATTTTTAAACAATTTAAAAAAAAAACAATTGTATCGTATGTACAGTGTCAATATTATCATTTCTTTACTGAGTAGTTTGAACTACTTTTTCTAAATAGGTTCAGTTTACCAAACTACATTTGTCCATGGCTTTGCTATAGTTCAAATTCTTCCAGTGTGACGTAATTGGTTGCGTATGCAAAGCTATGCTTGCAAGGTAGCTTCCACAACTGAAGGTAGGGAGCGTATTGAAGGAGTAAAGGTCACAACAAAATAATAACAAATACAGAAAAATGTGACATGTTATTAGAATGAACAGCACATTTCAGAGAAAAAGCCCTGGATCTTTCCCCTGTTTTGTGCTGTTGCAGCCTGAATTTAAAATTGATGCACTTTTACAACAGATTCAAGTTTTCTTGGATTCTTCAAGGTTGTATAAAAACAGTTGTTCCTTTTTTCATACATTGCAATCTGACCCTGCCAAATTTTAGCCATGTTAGAAAAATAAATACATAGGGAAAGGAACATAGTAGTTGCTCAAATCTGGAACATGGGCTGTCGTCTGGGGTCTGTAGGCAGGTTTATTGCAGGAGTGTGTTAAGTGGACTGCTGTGTTGCTGGTTGACATCCACTCTCAGGTGCCCAAGGAGCAGACAGAGGAGTCCTCCCTGACATAAACAACAAGTCATGAATATTTTATATAATATTATCAAATATCATCAACATATGGTATGTAACAACTTTATATCACTACAGCTACATTTGCAGTCTTAATAAAATGCTTTACTTACTTTGTTGACTAAAATACCGTGCTCTCCATTTCCCATCTCTCGTCTGATCTGGTCGTGAGAGAGCATTTCTTCTTCGTCATCATGAAAAGTCTTGGAAATTCACTGCGGGAACTCTTCCATGTTGTCTTCTCTCTCCGGTAGGCCTGCACGATGCATCTGTGGGGGCCCAGTGTTGCACCAAGATCCCAACAGTTACCATGTGTTAGCAGCTGAGGGAACATAAAAGGAACATAAAAATACAAGATAGTAATGTTGTCATGAACTATTTCTGCTACAGCCACTTGCCCCCGTGAAAAAAACAACATTAAAGTAAGAGAGATAAATCATCTTTGAATAATTACATAAGACAACTTAAGATTTGCAGGAGAGTTTTGTTCACGTTGTTACTAATTATGAGAATACCTCTGCCAGTTACAGCCGTCTCCACCTGAGTAAAAACATTGTGAGTAAGATAAAGAATCAACGAATCACTAATAATAAAAGCTGCAAGACTCTTTTGATAAAATTATGAATGATTGCCATGCCTGTTCTCCTAAAGTCATATTCATGCCAGCAAATGAAAAGAAGAAATGAAACTACAAAAGAGTGAGGGTGTATGGTGTGAAACATGTGTATCGTACGTAAAGTATAATATTTGACTTCCTGGGTCTTTATATAATGGACTACTGTAGCTCACTTTCCTTTAAAGTCACAATCTTGTACTTACCTATTCCCCACATGATGTGAATGGCAGAATATTACATATATGACAAAGATAGGAGGGTTACACTAAAATCTATGTCAACCATTTGGAGCAGATAAGAAATTTTTTGTCAGCTCATAATAATAATTTTATTTATAAAGCACTTTTCAAGCTGTCCAGATTAAATGAAATACAGAACAGAAAATACAATCAGAAATACAAGTGATTCACTTGGAACAATAAGCACAACTCAGTGTTAAATAAATAAATAAGAACATGTCCAGTCCTAGCTTTTAATGACAATAAAATGATGATTAAACACAACAGTCAGACACTTCAATTTGATAATGGGTTTCAAGAAAGATCTCAAATAGTTCCATTGTCTCCATGCAAAAAATATAGATTTTAATGCATTTTAGGAAAAATGGTCCAGTCGCCAACTTGTTTCTAAAAACTTCTAGGCCAATTTCTACAAAATTGATCCCCTCAAACCAAATCACTACACCTTTGTTCATATATTCCACACATTTCCCGTTACTTTTAATCCATTAAAACCAGTTAATTAACTAATGACAAGTTTACATCGAGAAAACGAGTATCAACCAATCTGTGTTTTTCAAACAGGCCTTTTAATATTCTGCTGCTTGTTCACCTTTAAATTCAATAAATTATGTTAAGTTTGAAGTTTTCAAAGTTTTTAAGGAGGTTCATTCATGAATGAAACACATTTATTTGTCTTTGGTGAAGCTGCCCAGTCAGTGTGGTTATTGGTCTCTTAAGAGACATTTCTCCTCTAGGTTGCTTTTCTGCTTCTTCTTCTCTCAATGCTCCACTGGTTCAGTTCTCCACTCTCCAATTGTCCGGAGCCCCAAACAGGGAGCCCAGGCCTTTATGGGGGCCTAAGCAGAATTTGACTTGGGAGTTGCCCCACCGCCTGTATTATTGATTATTGAATGCTTGAGGATATTTTACACCCCTTTATGTATGTACTGCATTGTGATTTTAACAAACTCAGTGTTAATTGAATGATTGGTCAAATGGAGACATCTCATCATATTTCAGAGCGCTTGTCTCCTCTGTTTGTACATAAAAGCACCATATAAATGTGAGCTGTTTATTATTGGTTCAGGGAGGGAGAATAATGCAGAGTCTAATCTCTCAGACTTCTTTTTCCTCAGAGACAGTTACTCCTCGCTTAAATGTCGATGTTTTAAGAAATAGGAGACACTGCTAAACACACTGTGCGAAATTTGTGTGTGTAGTGTCAAAAATATGATCACATGAGCCGGTAAGAAAAATGTCTGTTTCTGCTTCTCTCCTGAAATCAGTTAATATGAGAGTCTGTGCGGCAGTTGGCTGGTGCTCCTGTAGCTTGGAGGTTTCTGCAGCCAAAATTGTCAACAACAAAATTGTGTTTGGTTGTGTAGTTATGTGTTGCGACTGGGACACATTTTCAGGCATTTTGATGTGTTAATTATGTAGGCTATGTGGAGTAGAAATTGTAGGGATGAGAGCAAGTTCAATAAAAATGTTTAACAGCTCCTCTAACTGTTGTGACTGTCACCCACTCCCCTCCATAAACACCAATACAAAAATCTCAGAAGGGCTGAAAATTGCGCAAATCTTGATCTGTAATTGTGTAAAAAGTATGAAAGATATGAAACAGAGTTTCTATGTGAATGTATGAATGAGTAGGAAGATGTTGAAGATGACAGGGTTTGAAAAGCATTTCTATATATATTTTGAATATCAATGAAAAGCTTTAATGGGATTTGAAAGTTCAGTACATTCTCTATACATGGATACACATCTGGGTTTGATACAAACACGTGATAGCTTAAAGACTAAAATTTCAAAGAACATGTTTCAACTTTCATGATTTCTTCATGTAGCAGTTATGGTGATACATATCTGAGCATGAGGAAACCCGCAACAAAATCTCTGGTACAACATCACTGTCAGAGGTGAGAGAAGGAAAAGAAAAAAGGAAAGTAGACAAGGACATGGAGTGGGAGGAAAAAAAACATACAAAGGAGGATACAGAGGTAGAAACATTTCAGGGCAGGATACAGACAGGAGGAGACTGTTGACAAGGAAGAGATGTGGAGAGGGTTAGTTAAATTACTGGAATAGGTAGAGTCAGAGAGGATACAGAAGAATGTATATATAAGTCACATGGAGCTATGACCTGTGACCTTTCGGCTAGAGATAGTGCAGATGAAAGGGCATGACAGACTGAAGGGTGAAAAGATGAAGTTAAAGAGGCGGGAGGCTTTTATGGGTGAGTATAATGAGGTATGATTGGATATAAAGTGCTTGGGATTTAGTGCAGAGTGCACTCTAGCATGTCACTTCAGTGGACTTTGAGATGATCTGGTTCACATTGCTGTGAGAAATGCTATCCATGGACGTATCAGTGTGCGAGCGGCCACGCTTGTCCTCAGCGCCGCGAGAGTGTGTTCGGTCACGCTGCAACTCGTTGGTGTGAGAGCGGCTCCGGGAGCCATCAGTGGACGTGATGCTGGAGCTGGAGGCCGTCCGTGACCGAAGTCTGGTCATACCGGCGCTGGACACTGGAGAAAGAGAAGAGCCCTTAATGGTTCTTATTTCAACCCACAGTAAATCTACTAACTGTAAAAAAAAATAAAAAAAAAGTCTATCATTTTCAGTTGAAAATGATAAAGACCCTTGTGGGGTAAGAACAATCCTCTTATTTACAAGAAGTGATGTTTAACAGTGGTTTGTTAGAAATAATGAACTGAGTAGTGATTGTGGGTATCTGTTATGACTGACAAAGAGTGGCACATGCAGAGAATCAGACATTTAAGGCAAATACTAATAGAGACTTACAGTATCCCATGCCTTGGATGAAATATTTTAAGGCTTCAATCACTTTGGCTGGCTGCGAGAGAGAGAGAGATGAAAAGCATTAGATACATTTCCAACCAAATGTCTGCAGATTCTACAGTACTGTCAGTAGAGCAGCTGATAAATTCACAGCTTACCTGATCCACCTGAGGAAGTCCTCCACAGTCTGCCATCTAGAAGAGCAAAGTACAAAGGTCAGGTACAGGCTTCGGTCTGTCACATTAGAATCACACCAATTCTTATATGGAAATAAGTGTCTTTTAATCTTTATTTGGTTGTTTGGTTAATTGTTTAGTCAGTTACCTTGAGCAGTGTGGTCTTGGTAGGGTTGAGTTTAGAGTTGCAGTCGACCACGGCCTCCACAGCTGGAGAATTATCTCCTACAACCAGCAAAGCGGAGCACCTGTAAACCAACAGACAGGCAGGCAGGTGAAGTAGGCGGATAAAGTAAGATGCATAGGATAGGATTTACAAAGCTGGCAGCAATGATGCGGACACATTGGTCCTGGATTGAGAAGAGAGCAGCTTAAGGTCAGAGGCTCCAATTATTGGGGATTATTGTGTTTACTCAGATAGATCTTATATGTCAGCACCTCACAGTGTGGAGTAAGTTCAACTGTGTTCAACTATGTTAAACTTTGGCAGAACAATACAATTTCTACTTTTTACTGTGACCAAGGACCATTATAAACTGTGACAAACACTATTCTATTATTCATTTTCAAGACCGTTCCACACTAGCTCTTTAAAGGTCAATGGTTGTACTAACTTGAGGGTCCTGACATTGACGTTCCCTCCAGGAATAGGCCTCTCCACATCCAGAGCGTTGCGGCTGTTATAGGAGCGGAAGAACTGAGTCACGTTGGACTGGTTCATCGTTGTTGTGATGTGGTGACGATAAGTAGCTATGAGGTCATGGTTGTTCTCAATCTCATCCTGAAAATCAGTTTAAAAGTAAGACAGAGGTATTCTTGTATGTACTGGATGTTTTAAGATGCATGTTTCCACTTTAGTTGTCATGATAACTGAAGAGAATCACTGAACCCTTACCTTTCCAAACAAGTGTGCGATGACAGTGTCCGGGAGAGTGTGAGTCCATTCAGTGAGCTATAACACACAAAACACACACACAATTACATTCAGCTACATTCAGATAGTCAATAATCTATTTATAGGTCTCAAATTATAGTCAGATTCATCAATCACAAGGACAAACTCTACTCTAGTTGTGGGACAGCTACTATATCAATATCTATCAATACAGGTGGTTGTATAGATTGAAATGAACACAATATATTAGATGTTGATCTTTTTCAGCCTACAGAGTGGGTGGTCAACACACACAACACAAACACTGCTGACCTTGTTTGCAACACTATCCATTAGTCCTTCAGCGCTGGGGTTGATGTTGATCAAAACCAATCCATCCACCATGTCAGGGTGATTCAGCTACACACACACACACACACACACACACACAGAGAAGAGTGGTTAGAGATATGACTTCAACAACTAATCTACACTTCTTAACATGCTTTTAGGCAGTTTTTATATGTGAACTACAACCAAGTGAAAATATGTTAAAGGCTTATTTTTTATTTCTTATTTTCCAAAATAGGTGTCAAATTATGTTCTCTCGCTGTCTTAAGTTCAAATGGGATTTAGAGAAGAGATTTGAACTCACAGCAAATTTAGCCAGGATGTAGGCACCTGCTCCAACTCCCAGTCCAATCACACTCCGCAGCCTGCAAAGCACACAGTCAGAAGGTCAAAACTGAGATGAATCCTAATATGCTGTGTGAATAAACCTGTGAAGTATCATATTAACTCACCCAAAGTGTTTGAGGACAGCAGGCAGAGCTTCAGAGAGTTGGTCCATGGAAGGGTAGGCGTATCTGAGGGGTCAAAAGTTAACATAACCATGAGCAGCTGTGGGCTCCACTCATTTATAAAAATGAGACCACTGTAGAAAAAGAGACTGAGAGAAGACAGTGTACTGACGCAGAAGGTAGAGTTTTGGCTGCCTCGTGTTGTCCTGGTGCTTCAACGTGACAAATAGGCAAATGTCTGACGATTTCCTGCATGTCCTCATGGTTGAACAGAGATTCAAAACAGGACTTGTCTATAAGAAGAAAAGACAAAAAATGTATCAATTCTATTGAAGTGAAGTCATAGGAATAGACAGAATTTAGAAAGTATTTACAAGAAGTTTGGATTAAAATGTACATAAATTGGAGATTAATGTTATTTATACAATTTATCCTTTTTATTATGCATATAGTATTTTATTTATGTTTAAATTATTTTCCCAGTTGGTACTTACGGTTCAGTCCAACATCATGAAATGTCAGGATGACTGGGCGGTTTGCCTTTACAATTCCTGACATGATGCAGTGGACATTCCCATACGGAGTCTCTACATGCTCCTCCTAAAACAAACACACATTCAGATGATCAGTACATTGCTGTTGCACAAACATGATTTTAAAAAAATAACATTTTAACTGTATTTCTTTATATTCTTTAGTGTGAACTGAAACAATTTTCACAATATAAGATCCAACTGACTGAATATAAGATCAACTTTGTGTAATTACTACAGCTGTAACCATGATTCTAGCCTCAAGATTAACTTAAGCTCCCTCTGATAGGATACTCACAGTGATTTGGGGCTCAAAGACTGAGTCGCCCTCGTTCTCCTCCAGAACCATGGCTGCTGATGCAGAATAGACCACAACAGAGATAAAGGAGATGTGCAGTAGATGGAGAGCAGACGTCCCGTTCGGTGTGTAGATCTTCGACTCTTAACTTCCTCTTGATTTCACCAGCAAAAGTTTGTATTCCTGGACAGTTCCTGAAGTAAGAAACGACCTGAGAGCAACAGCAACTTGTGTGTGACAGACTTCTTGTTTAAGCTGGTTTATATATCCTCCAACATTGATCTGTCTCTAAGCTCTAACTCCAACCTGGCTCACACGTGGCCAACTGGCTTCCTGTTTTAATCTGACCTCAGGCTGCTGAATTCCCACAGAGACACCACTGGATATCTACAGGAAACTAATCAGTACATGGCAAAAGCACAACTTTATTCTGAAGTTTCCATGCATCTTAAGATACTTAAAATGTGCAAAATAACTAGCTGTATATACAGATAATTCCATCATTTCCCTTCTGGATTACTTGAATTGTCATTATTACATTTGTTTCAAGTCACTTATAAAACTTCTTTCTTAAAATCCGCTTTGAATTGTGTATTCTTATGTCTCATTATGTCTCACCTGAAATGTATTGAAACCAATCATACATTTGATCTGTAATAAGCTAGATAGGTGGGACCTACATTGAAAACACAGACATAAAGCTTGTTATTTTTTTGCTGTGATGGGTCAAGAGAATCACAACACCTTGAGCCAAGCCATGACCAGGTCAGCTGTCTAATCTCAGTGTGCATCTGTTCCTCACAGCACAACATCCAGTAACCTTGACCCTCTTGCATTAACTTAGTACAGTACATTGACTTAATTTGGATTGCTACTCTGAACTGTCTCAATACCATTTAGCTCGTATACAGCATACATATAAAACTCATAAATATTGAAAAAGGTATAAATTTTTTTTTTTAAAGAAAGACAAAAGAAAGGTAACTTTCTAACTACTCTATGAAATGAAAACAGATGGGATTCTTCAAAGGTAATAATTGTATTGAGTATAGCATTGAATGCCATAGAAACTGATAACTAAAAACTTTTTGTGAATAGTTTTTTATTTTTATGTTTCATGGTTTGAAATAATAAAAACAATAATGAGAAAAATTATCACTTTACTAGGCAGAGTAAGGCAATTCTTCAAAAGCTATATAATGAAGAATAAACATATTTTCAGATACAAAGCAGTTGATGAAGGATAGACCAGTTGCACTGTAATACACTTTAGTGGCAATCCCTTCTTTGTAAAAAAAAACAAAAACTGATTACCAGATGTTAAGTGGTTTTTAATTATTTATTACTTTATCTTTTTATTTATTACTTTATTTTTTACTACAAATTGCTTTGTCTAAGGTAATTTAATTGCTCTTAAATAAAATGGTGTTTCCCTCAGGATGGCAGAAGGTTGAAGGTTTATGGAGTAAGTGCAGAAAATCCAAGTGGGTGAATGAATGAGAGCTCTCTGCTCAATCATGTAGCCCTGAGCAAAACACTGAATCATTAACATTGTGAACTAAAAGCATGCAGCAGACTTACAATACATATACAATAACATGACATTCCCTATAGGTTGATAGATTAAAGCATGCAATATATTTATAGACAGGTAGATTACACTGCAGACAGGAGCAGCTGGCTGAGCGGAAACACAGCAGACTGGGCTGTGACCACCTTTATTTAAGATGTAATACCACCAGTGCCAAGCACACACACACACACACACACAGCTAGATGAGACCTGTGTGTGCAGCAGGTTTAATCCATTTAGTGGAGGCTGAAGAGCAGAGAGCAGCAGATGGGTCTTACACAGTCTCACGTCAGTCTGAAGCCATTTTAGCATCATACTAACCCTGACTAAGCTTTGACCTGCTAGCCTATTTCACCACTGACCACTGGCCTATTTTAGGGCATGTGTTATGTGATGGATGTGTCCCCTATTGTACAAAGAGATCTTACAATGCCAACAACAACAACGTGACTATTTCTTGCTCATATTTTGTTCTACCATGTATATAAAAAGTAGAGTGAATTTACTTACCAAACAAAATACTTTTTTGTTTTAAATATTTCAACCCGTGTTAGGTATGTCAGCAGCTAGAATTTCTGCCAATTCACTTGAGATCACACTTGCTGTTTAACTGAAGACGCAATACCACCTCAATAAAAATCAATCAGCACATGAAACTAACAGATTGAACTATATACTATATACATTCAACCACTGACCTTACTCAAATGGGAACAGAGTTAAGCTCTGTTAAAGATTGTTTTAAAATTAAGAATTTAGGGTTTCTACAAGATGGTAATTTGATTAAAAAAAAGGAAAAATGTTACGATCTGAGTCATGTGAGCCTGTGAATGATGTGGAAAAGGCTTTGGGAATAAAGTCAGAAAGCTCCTCTTCACAGCAGACATTTTGACTTGTCACAGTACCAAAAGCACAGGTGTCACTAATGACATTAGCAGTGGCTCCGTTCTATTCAAGTGACCCAGTAAGTCGTGACAATGTGACAGTGAGTCAGCATTCACAGTACTGTACCCTGAACTCCTGTACCCAGGACCCTGAAACTGAAGTGAAACTGACCTGTGCTTTTGAAGCTTGAAACAGATCTATTGTGACTTTGTCATATTGCCTGATTTCACTTAAATGTAAAACCTACATCTTCCATTGGTGTTGTCACATAGGATCATTAAGCCTACATCAGATATCATCCATAAACCTCTGCCGTATCAAATAAGACATTACCATTATTTATGCAAAGTACAGGCAGCATTGGTTGGTCAAATTGGTGCTGAAAGCATTTTTACAAATCTAGGTCTATTATTTACCATCTTTACAATTTATCTTTTGAAGCTGCAATTAATCTAAACAGTTGCTATATAAATGTTCTGTCTGTCCTGCTGCTACCAACCAGTAAATAAATCCAAGACAAACCTTTTGTTTGGTTTGGAGAAGATAATCTGATTCCAGCGCCACCCAAGGTTGTAGCATCAAGAGTCCACTAGATGGAGTTTCATGTCAACTTTCTGAATGCCGAGCGTCAACTGGCAGCATGAAGAGAGTCAGGATGTCACTGCTTTGTTTTTCACTTCACAGAACTTGTCCTTGAAATTCCTATTGATTAATAATAAAATGTTTGTGTTTGTGGACGCTTTTTATTTCTGCACACAAACTGTTACAACAAACTAAACTAAGAAGATTTTTTGGCAAATAATTTAAATAGTTTAATTCATATTTTGCTTTGTACTTTCACATAGCTTGAATATGAAATTTAATTCTGCATTAAATGTATTCAACACAATATTTAAGGAAGTCATTTGGAGCTTTTTTTTTGTCTTGAAATCCCATGTGTGGGTGTGTCTGTTCCAAAACAGACGGGATGGACGGTGAGATGGAAAGCTTTGAAAGCCAGATATCTCAGCATGTGGTGGAGTGATCATTGAGTTACAAGTATTGATACTGTTACCTCCTGTATAACCTGCTGCACATGTTATGGACATTCTGTGTTGTGGGTGAGAAAGAATCTCATTCACTAGGAACAGGCTGCCTTCCTGTACTTTCGCTCTTCATTCTTTTACTTTCTTTACTTAAGCGCACCGAGTTGGCATATACATAGATAATGTACTTGACATAATATGTTGTATTGTCATGCTGATGGCTGGTTGTCATGGAAACTTGTCAGGCTGCAGGTGAAAGTCCTGCCGTCTGACTCTCAGCTTTCAAAACATTCTAATTATACACACAGCAGCTGCTGCCGCTTGCCACATGCTTGACTGTGTGTAATGTGTGTGTGTGTGTGTGTGTTTGTTGTTATTTGTATGTGTGTGTGTGTGAGTGTTAGTATGTATGTGTAAGATTTGTCTCTGAACCTTGTTCTGTGAATATGTATACGTGCATTTGTGTGAGTTCTCCTGTACGCATGTTTCTGAGGGTGTGTGTGTGTTTATGTGCGAAAAGGCCCTTTCCATAATTCCTTGTATAGTATGACCAGCAAGGATACAGTATGTAGTGGTATTACCATTACCAGGCTGTAAAATAGATTTAGTTACACTGTTTTGCAGTAGACTTTTTCTCTAGCTCCATGTGTTTATAGGTTATACCCAGATCAACCAGATCCTTGTTTAATATCAATTTAGATGGATAAAAAGTTAAAACTATCCAATTAGCCTTTGATATATATATATCTGTGTGTAAATGTATGCAGGATAAATGTTTTTTTCTTGATAATCTTCTTGCGACTCACTGCAATAAATAATACAGTTATATTTGCACTGTATTACATCGCACCATTTTTCAACACATCAAAGAACCCTCCACTTCAAATGCAACAAAGTGTATTGCAGTAAGAAAGGAAACTGATATGTAGGTAACACTGACGCACTTAATGATTTGGCTCACCAAGTACTTCAAAATATTAGCATGCCTTAAAACAGAGAGCTTCTGAAATATAATTTGATCCAACACAGAGTGCTGCTTCACCATCCACTCCAGGCCAATGACGGGTTCAGTTTTCCAGCATAGTGATGCACCTGCTGCTACATCACGTCCATGAAATCAGACATTGGGGGTAATTAGACGTTATTAACGACTCTCATTGTGTCTGAAACATGAAATGGCAGCATAGAGTATAAAATATAGAACTGTTGGGAGAAACTATACTTCCTTTTCATATCCAGTTTCTTCTTATTGCTCTGGAAATTACATAGTATTTCACACTCCTTCGTGAGTAGTGTAGCCTGAGGGACAGAATTACAAACTAGTCCAGGGGAGGGGACACACTGTGTAATTGTATATATCAACATGGGAAATTAGTGTAAATGTTAAAGCTCCATTCATCTGGAGTGAATGATACAGAACCAAATTCATAGACGTCAGTAGTCAGGAGGTGGATTTATGAACGATTAACCTCATTTATGAGTGTGCAGAGTAGTGTGTATTGTTAGTAGCTTTGTAATCATTACTGTGGCTATAGTAGAAGTCGCTGTGGAAGTAGCAGTAGTAGAAGCAGCTGCAGTTACCTGTAACACCATTAAATAGGTTAAGGAACTGGTAACTAGTTATATATTCTGGTTATATTACTGTAGGTCAGGCTTTTTTTGTACGGAAGGCTAAGTTTGTATTCATCAGACACAAATACAACAGAGTGAGACAAGAGGCTACTGAGCCAGATTAGAGCTCTTCTATGAAGGCGATAGGAGGTTTAAATAGCACCAATCATTACACAATGCCAGAAATAGCTTACCAAGAAGGATCTAGTTAAACAACAACAGGTAAATAAAACTTAACATATGAGGAATGATTAAGTAACAAACATGTGCAAAACAACAGAGCTCGTAGTGTTGAATCTATTTATTTATGCACATTGTTGACTTTTTGTATCACTAATATTAATCCATAATTGTAGAACCTAAATTTTTGCATGATGGGCGGCACGCTATCAGCAATCTTGACAGTGGAGGTTCTACTTTTATCAGCAATTAATACAATATTTTATTAAAAACATACAAATACAATGAATACTTACACATGCATGCACACACTTAGACAAGTTAAGAAATTAAGAATATGTTTGGCTTGACTCAAGATGGAGAGACGTAGTTGTTACACTGAAAGGTTTGATATTGAGACACAGTCATAAATTATCTCTATTCATAGTTCCCGCTTTAGTCCAACCCAGGCAGCTGAGCCTGGGCATAATGATTCATAATTACCATGATCATCACCATCAGCATTTTATTATTTATAAGAAATAAGGCTCAAACTTGGCATTTCCTTGTGGTGGAAGGATTCAGTGCTGAAGTCTTTGCAGGTCAGCCCATTGCTTTCATCTGGCTACAACCGGCGCCCCAAAGTGTCCTTTAGGCCTCTCAAAAAGCACAAGACTGCCAGCTGAGGGTTGACCTACAAGGTGGCAGCTCACATTTCCAGAAACCATTGCAGCAACCATGTTTAGGCCAGTGCACTGCTGTTTGTAGCATCAAAACAGATGGTCAAACTGGAGCGGGCTGTTCCTGAGGAGGATTGGATAGAGGAAGTCTGGAGAGGAAGAATATGTGCATATGGGGAACAAATACAGCAAGTAGACAATGGTAGGATGTCCTATCTGTATATTAGTGTATGGTTTATTCAAAGGTTCAAAAGTGACTGAATGAAATACATTTCAATACAAAACATTCGGACCAATTTGGAAGTTGAAGCAGCTCACTTAACATAAAACACCCACAACAAAAACAGCACACAAAAATCACAAGTATGTGCTAGAGCTCTTTTTGCAATGCGTTCTTCACCATAACATGTGTTCCAGCAATCCAATACATCATATCAATTAACCCCTACTAAAACTGAGTTAAAAAAAGATCAGTAAAGAAAGGTCAAAAGACTCGGGATATGTGAGAAAATGGAGGCTGGAAGAATAATAAAGGTTCTCGATTGTATTTAGAACTAAAACTAACTAAAACTGTATAAACCAGTCAGTCAGCCACAATAAATCTGATTCTATAACTCAGGTACTGTTAATAGTCTCAATTGTTGAGACAATAAATATACATTGAGAAAAAAAAAATGACTTTGTGGTCTCAGACACATACATCAATGTCCACCTCAAACCTTTTCCTGCATGCCATTCCCTTATCTCTCCCCCATGTTCCAGTCTCTCTCTGTGCTTTGTTTACACCCTGATGACACCTGCGCTTTAGGTTGTAAAATACATGTACTGTACAGAATGTGAACGAGCAGTATTCACTTCTATTCTATGTTTAGATGTTGTTTGCCACCAAAGTTGTCATTAAAGGACATAAAGGCAAAGAAAAGTCTAAAAAAGTAAAAGAAAGCTTTTCCATCCTGTTCTTCCTCTTTCTGAAGGTCTTTTTTTAAATGTCACTTTGTGTTTGCAACCTGCTACTCACCACTTGTGGCTATATTTACACCTATTATTCAGAAAAAAAGGCAAAAGGCCTCCACAATGAAGATCAGAAGTGGGATAGCACTGGACCATGATACAGCTGCAGAATATTTGTCACAATAATGCGTGCAAAAAACACATCTTCACATTTTAATGCAATAAACTGGAAACCGTTCAAGTAGCGCTAATTTTAGCTAGTAAGAGGTGTTTTTTAAAGCTGTGTGCGTGGGTGGACAGTCCACTCAAAGTGTTGATAGTGAGGTGAGACCCCAGCTTGTTCTGCTTTAAAAAGTCTGTGCCTTGTGACTCTCTCCAGACACACATATCCTTATCATAACTGTGTAAACAAAATGGATAAAGCTGACAACAGACAAAAAATCCCAGGCTAGCTGGATTTCTTGGTTCTTGGTTTATAAAAATGTGTCCGCAATTCTCCCCCCTTTTGATTTTTGGACAAACTCATTGGCTAATGCACTGTGGCAACTATACAGTGGCTTTACACAGTAGTTTGCCTGTACGAAAAACAACAACAAACACAATCTTGGGACTATTGTCAGTTAAGAAGAAAGTTAATTCGATGAACTGCGACTCAAAGGTTTGACTTGTCCAACCTGTCTGGTGGCTCAAAGGACCGTCTATTTTTAGTTGGTTCCAGGAGGGGAAGGGGGGAGAGAGGGAGGAAAGGAAAACAAGAGAGGGTCCAGACAGACGTGTCATGGCATAAAAAGCTCATTAGACCTGCAATGTCACTAATCCGTTATGTTACATTTTAAAGCGAAATGAACTGAAAACACTAATCCGCGTTTATTTTGTTCCTGTGCATTGACTATATCTGAGACTAAAAAGCTTTCTTGACTGAACCTTGCAATCATCGGCCTATAGGAAGAGCGAGGAGAGGACATGAGGGGGGAAACAGCACCTCTTCTTCACCCTGGAAGAGGGCAGGGAAAAAGGAGTGGAGTGAATGAAGAGGAGGAGGAAGAGGAGGAGGAGGGAGTGAGGCTCTTCTCCTCTCTCTCTCTCTAAGAGCATTAACTGTAGAGTGTTCTGGCGGTGACAGGGCTGTCAGGGTCAGATGGCTGCTCAGCCTGATTAGACCAGCTCACAGCAGATCCTCAGCCCAGCACACCACACCGCTACAAGCGAGGTACAGCTCCGACCTGGCACGTACAGTACACTGCAGCGGTTACTGAGAGGCCAGGGGGGACAGGAGAGAGGTGGAGAGTTCAGTGTTATAGTGGGGCAGAGCTACAGGTTGTTGCATTTCATTTTACTGCTGCTTGACTACCATACAGTTCAGCTTCTAGTAGCAGAAAAAGACTAAAAGCAGGCGGACTTTGCTGTGAGAAAGAAGAACTCATGTTTAGTCTGGTTGGAGATGACATTTAATAGCAGGTAAGGACAAACACTCAACAGATACTGTATTTTGTGTTGCTGTTATTAAATAGTATTTGGGAAACGTTCCTGACACTGTCACCCAGCCACTGTGATCCTCTGCTACAACAAGTTTTATAACTTTTGAGATCATTCAATTATTATGACAGATAATGTAGATATTATGGAGAATTTCCATAGACATCCATTTCCACAGTATTAGAGATAGTAATCAAGGAAATCACAGATCTTCAGTGGAACAGGCTGAGAGCAGGGAAATGGGTGCACCAACACTGGAGACTGTTTTTCCACAAAAAATTGATGTGTCATAGAATCAGCTGCTAGTATAGATACAGCTATAAATACAGCTGCAGGGTGTTCAGTGTCTACAGGGGTTTACTATAACAGGCAGTCAGCTGGTTGTCTGTCAGCACTCACACTATTGCAGAGCTGCTGCTGCAGCTTCTGCAGGACTTTGGTGTAACTGCCAGTCAGTGGTTTGTGGATTTTCCAGTTCCCAGCCAAGTCCACTGAGGTAAGAAGGAAGGCTTTATACGTTATGCTTTCAGAAACAACTCCAATTTAGGCATTTAGCACGTCTACTTTTTGAGAGTGACTTGTGACTGGAGGTGCTACAGAAAGCCTCCTCTCTAGTTGTTAACTGGAAGGCAGCAGAGATGAACATGCTGTAACAGGATTTATATTACGGCCACTACGATACTAACCTGCCTTGTTGTTGTCTTTACTACTAACTTAGATGCTTAATTGTGTTTAAGCCTTACGTTTCTCGTACTGTGGAAAAGTTTGGCAACCTAAAACAGCTCTAAATAATATTGAGATCCATTTTTAACTTCTTTGGGTCCTGACCCAGCCTGTGACAGGGAAAGAGCCAGGCAGCCAGAGAACCAACTGGGGACGCACCTGTTTTTACAAACCAAACTGTGCTCTAAGGTAACAGGGAAGATCGGCTTTACAGTTTTAATTGGAATTACTGCTGCCGTCTAGCCATTTCCCATCATGCTCCTTCATGCGTTCATATGTTGTTTTTATATGAAGTTTAGATGTCAGTTAAATGCCTAAAAGGACCTAAAGTGACTGCATTACTTGTGAAGAGTAAGTATTTAAATGTGTTTTATGTTAAGATGCTTTAGAGCTTTTTTAATGCCTGTTTGTTTCTCAGTTTCAGTGAATTCCATGCGTTGTCTTGTCTGTGACAGTGCCTTCGGTCATGTTGCTCTGTGTGATACAATCATTTATCCCGTTTGTCTCACTTTTAATTTTGTTTTGCTTGTGTTATATGAGGCTGTAAAATCAGAAAGGACCTATCTCTAAAACCTCACTTTTCTTTTTACACTTTGAATCAATTAGCTGGAAAATAACTGACCTCTATTGACCTCTAACGTGATTAGTGGTAACACAGGATAAATTCCTAATAATAGATAGTCAACAACCTGGAATAGACTACACTCTTCTGGAAGAGTTAGCGAGTAAGTCGGCATGTGATTATGTGTGTGTTGTCAAAGCTGATGTGAAGAGGTGACCATAGATTACCCAGAGTGCCTGTGGACTTTCCCTTGTTGTTTGTCTGAATGTTTTGGCATGTCAGTGAGAGGAGGGTTACATCTGCAACCACCTTCCTTCATATGTCCCTCACTACCTGTCTGTTGTCCAACATAATAGAGAAACATTGTTAATTAGCATTTTCAGACAGATGCTTTCCAGGATATCAGAAACTGACATTGTAACAAGATTTGGTTAGCTGCCAACGTGTTTACTGAGAAGAGGAGAGTGGAGCGGCTTACCAGCCACAGACATAATCGCCACTTGTTTTTCAATTACTGCTCTTGGTAAAACACTTCCCAGTTGTTTCTGTGTAACTATGTAAGATTTTAATAGGTTTACAAAGAATGTTTTTGTAATGCCTTTTTTAAATTCTTGCTGCCCTATTAAGTAGAGTATTAAACGTGTTGACTTTTGAAGAAACTGCATTTTAATTTCGAAGCAGTGTCCGTCCTTTCACTAAGATACTTGGACAGAACAAATATACTGAACGAATAAAACATATTGTATAGCAGGGATTCAGCCCAATGTCTTTTACATCAGAGCTGTTGAACACAAATTCATGACATGATATTATCTTGGCTACATAAATAGGCCATAATTTCAAGTATATCCTTGTCAAGCTCGAAGTAAATAGCATTTAAACATCTCATAGACATACTGAAAATATCTGATCAAGAACACATTTTTGGATGATGAAACATGTCAAAGTCAATGACACATACTGGCGAGCAACCACTTTTATTCCAAGACCAATATGTGTCAGTTAAATTGCCAAATGGATAAATGATTCCAGCCCTACTCTAGGGGGACCTGCTCTAGAAACAGCGAGTGACCTAACCTTCCTTTTTTATTTAGTTTTACAGTTTGTACTCCAGTATGTGGTCTGTTGTCCCAAAGCCTGGAACTGCCCTCAGATTCTCTTATGCACTTAAGAATCCTCCTAGAGTACATTAAATAGACCACCAATTTTCAGACTTTGTCTCCTTTTTTTTCTTTCAGAGCAAATTCAATTTTGTTGATATTGTGCAGGCTAATCTAATAAAATTGTCCATATTTTGTGAGCCACATAATGTATTAGATTTTCTAGTCCATGCTGCATCTGTCATCTGTTTCCTAGATTTCTAGTCCACTCCATGCAAGTAGGAACACTTTTGTACATCGTTCAGTAGCTAAGATGGTAGTTTACTCTGTGTGTATGTACATATGTATACATATGTATACACAAAACTTGCTTGCAGATATTAGTGGTTTTGAGTATATGCATAAGAACAATTTCCAAAAGTTCACTCAGGCTCATTAGTGATAGGCTATATGTATGGCTTTTTAGATTTTTTTTTTTTTTGTAAAGCAAATGCTTTAATTGTGTTTAATAGAAAATCTGTTAAAATATACACATATGCATATCTTAGTGTGTGTGTTTGTGTGTTTATTTATGCACATCAGCCAGGCAGCAGCCCTCCTGCTGGCCTCCATATTACTGAAGAAGGCTGTCATTAGTATATTTTGTCATATGAGCTGATTTTACAGATACAGTGTTTGGAACAATGGAAAAAATGCTAAATTATTAATATTTTGTGTTTGTCTGTTTTCATGACTGTCTTTCTGAAATTTGATTCTTTAAAGAGTTAATATATTTTCTATGTTTTGTACTTTAGAATTGCTGGTTGATGGAGTTTGTGCGGCGGAGTGGTGACTACTGCCACGCCCAACACATTTAGACCCTGTCTGGGATGAAGCTACACCATGCAGTCCTGCGGCCCTGAAACCTGAAAGACCACTGGCCTTCGCCCTCTGAACCAGCCAGCTCATGGGGTAACAAGTGGAGCCTCGACACTGAAAGCTAACCGGAGAGAGAAGGAAAGAGAGAGCTACTGAGAGACAAAGAGAGAAAAGGACTGGACAAAGAGAGAGATAAAAACAAAGAGACGAACAGAGAGAGAGAGCTGACACTCTGTGGCCTCCTCAACTATAGGATACAGTCAACTGATGGGGTAATACAAGACAACAGGACCTCAGATTTGGGAAAATACCTTAAACGGCTATAAACAGTCTCCCAATAGGAAGTTCCACAAGGGAGAGGAAGTCCAGAGTCACCTGCAGACCTGATATAAGTTGAAGTCACAGCAGCTAACTGCTGCAGCTGGAGCTAAAGGTGAGGGGTCAACATATCTTCACTAAATATATATATATAAACATACAATGATGCACCAACACTTTTTAACTCCTGCACTTTACTGCATACTCCTGACCTCTACTGACTTTATAAAAGGATTCTACTGTAGTATTTTAGTTTGGTCAGTATGAGCTGAAATTAACTTTTGTCTTGCCTTTCAAGGTGAGATTACAAGAATGTTTTTACGTCCCAGGCCTTGCATATGGCCTGGTGTTTGTGTCCCAGGATTGACATTTTTAGAAATATAAATAATCTTTCACCATTTTGAGGGCTATTTACTTCTTTAAAATATGACAATAATGCAGTGACAAAAGCACATTGAGCACTCTGCTCACATCAACGAAACAGAAAACAGTATTTGTAATACAGCCAGTGGCTATGATACTGGGAAGAGGAGTGGCCAGAAATGTTTATCTTCTGTTCTTGGGAAGTGTAACCATGTTGCTGTAAAACACCTGCACTCTATGCTATACTGATATGATTAAGCAGTATTGGCTGTGAAAAGTTGTTTAGCAGCATGTGAAGACTCTGATGGCAACCAAATAGTTCTTATCAGTACTAACTAAAATAGTGGCTGTGTATGCTTTGGGGAATGTCAGGCATTCGTAAATTAAGATTATTGAAATTAAAATTCCATCCTAAAATACACTCATGTCCCTGTTATCTTATTTGAAATGTGAGCAAGAGCAATGCAAGTCATCATGAGGTACTCTAGTGTTCCACTGACAGTGATAATTCTACCATGTTGGTTTTTGTTTTTCATACAGTAGACTACACAGAAATATTGCATTACGTGAAGCATTCATGCATTTTAATTATAAAATACAGTTCTATTCACAACAGTCCAAGATTAGTGATATATATAACTTGTTTTATGTTGTTATGCTGGGAATTATGTGAGGTCGATACTCAATGTACAACTACATAGAGGTGTTAGAGAGTTGTGAAGTGAAGGAGATGCCAATCAAGTACAGTCTGTACCTGCCCACAGCAGACTTTTGAGATGAGGTCTAATCAAGCTAATAAGTGAAAACAGCTGAGGGGGTTTAAGGTCTGTTAACCTAGTTGTTTGAACACTGTTGTCCCACACCTAGACTTGTTTGTTATTGCTCTTTATTGTGTGAGATTTACATAAGGGGGACTGTAAGTATGTGACCTTGAGGTGAGTTTTGAGAAGACTGTAAGAGGTTTGGTTGCAGTTGAAAACATTACAAAAAAGTTACAGTAATGCTTGTGGTGTGTGGGCAGGTTGGGCTCAATACGCCTTTTTCCACAGCAGATATTTTGACGGAAAAGCACAAGTGTTACTAATAACATTAACGATGGCTCTGATCTGTTCTACTGTCCCAGTAAGTCATGACCGTGTGACAGTGAACCCGCATGCCAGACCTTGAAACTAAAGCAGCTAAACTAAATAGTACATTTCTCTCTGACATTGAGCTTATGGCTAACAACTAACCGCTCACACATAAAGGTCATCCTGGGATGTCAAAGGTCACACTGGCAGCCATGAACCGTCCAGCTCCAGTGGAACTGTGCCACAAGAACATGAGATTCCTGATCACTCACAACCCAACAGACAGCACACTCAGTTCCTTCATAGAGGTGAGAAACGTGTGTGTTGACAGACACACATGCACTCACACTGTATAAATAAACTGAAGCAGCTAAAAGACATTTTAACTGAATTGATGTACTTAAGTTTTAGCTTAGTTGTGAAAATCATCTCCTATCACTGTTGTTCCTTTCAGGACCTGAAGCACTACGGTGCCACCACAGTTGTTCGAGTCTGTGATATCACCTATGATAAAACACCATTGGAGAAAGATGGCATTAATGTGGTGGTGAGCACACACTAAACTCCCCACAAACAAACAAACACACATACACACAAAACATTAACACTCAAATCGAGTGTCAGAAGTGCTGTAGCTGTTCTGCTTTTTGTTCAGGATTGGCCATTTGATGATGGAGCCCCGCCCCCCAGTAAGCTGGTTGATGATTGGTTGAGTCTGCTGAAGAAGAAGTTTCAGGAGGATCCAGGATGCTGTGTGGCTGTTCACTGTGTGGCCGGACTTGGGAGGTGAGAGACACACCGATCAGTCTGAACTGAATGCTAGAGAGGGAGACACAGGCACACACATACATATATACACACAGCAGGGGTTCATTAACATGTAGAGAAAGCCAAAAAGTAATGAAATAAATGGAATAAGTTCCACTGGTTTCATGCTACTAGTATAAAACTAATGCCGCGGATACCTTTTGTTGTAGTTTTTGTGGCATCGATATTTCTACACTTTAGTAATTTTAGTCAGCTCTGTTAGTGACAAACATGACATATAAGCAGTAGCCGATTGGTCTTTCTAAACAGGTTTTCTGAAACTTTTTTGAAGATGCAGATGAACTATCGTTATTTTTATTTAGACATTAACAAACATACTCTTTTTGTGTTGGTGTGTCTATTTATGCACACAGGGCTCCTGTGCTGGTTGCTCTGGCACTGATAGAGAGCGGGATGAAGTATGAAGATGCTATTCAACTCATCAGACAGTAAGTTAATTTATGTATTGCATCCTCATAATGCAGAAATATCACATATCATGGTGGGAGAGCACTTTAGAAGTTAGGTGTCTTTATAATGCATAACAATAAGCTTATAAACAGCTGCGACGGCTGAATTACAATGTCTTATTTTAATAATATATACACAAGAAAGCTTTGTGTAATATGTAAAATGCTTAGGCTTAGGAGTACATTTTTACACCGGTTTTCACTCCTGATAAAGCAGCAAGAACATGGGAATACAAAACACAGTATAGTGTGTGAAGGATGGCTAATATGTTACTATTTAAACCCACTCTGTGTAGAAATTGAGATTTTCTTTCTTTGGGGCCATCCAGTGGTGGTATCAAAGAAGACAATGTGGTGACTCAATGCATACTGATATTCTGTTACATGTATCCAGTTGCCGATTAAAGAGCACAGGCAGACTCACTTCATGGTGTTAAATGAACAAAATGCTTGGGATGTTTTTTAATTATATGCAAGAGATTAACCACTTAACCGTTATAAACACAATCCAGTGATCAAGAAAGATATGAATGAACTGTTGACTTCCACTATACATTGTTTGTCTTTGTGTGTGTTTCAGGAATCGTCGTGGAGCCATCAATAGTAAACAGCTCACCTACCTGGAGAAATATCGATCCAAGCAGAGACTCCGCTTCAAAGACTCTCACGCACACAAGAACAAGTGTTGCACTATGTGAACACACACACACACCTTGTACTCCTCAACAAATGCTCTCAGGAATCCAACCATACAAGCCTTGTGTCACTGTCACAAAAACTAAAATATACGGGATTCATTAGTCCAAGTGTACCCTGGGAATTTTCTAATGTTTTCAAGGAAATTGTATCAGAGCCCATCTTTGTTCCCTTGTTTGTATTGATTTATTGTCTTTTAAAGATTTTATTGGCATGTTTGCTTCATAATATAGTTTACAGTGAAAGATGGCAAAAATAGCTGAAGGACAGAAAATAATATTTAAAAAAATGTTATATGTACTTTATTAGTACTACAGTTGGCTTAGAGATAACGTGTTAAGGCTTCAATCACATTGAAGTAGCATGCAACATGTAGGACTGATATATTATACATTATGTATTGGTCTTCAAAAGCATTGAATTTCCATTATTTTGTAATGTATGGTTAGTATCTTCACCATAATCACAGTGTAAAATTACACACAGTATTTTTGTGTTTGTGTTATGTCAACACTTTTTAAACAATGTTGGTAGAGTAAAACTGATACACCGAAACACAGGAATAACATCTTAAGAGCTCAGTATTTTTACTGTAAATTAGCATCAATACTTTAAGTTGACCCTCTATTTTACATTTTTCCTGTTGGGGTCTGCTGTCAGTGTAACAGGAGATAAGGGCTCTTTTCCATCCCAGCATTTTCTACCATTCATCTACAATCAGCATTAAAATGAGTTTCTAAAATGCTAGATAAGGCATTTTGGTAAAAATAACGCCTTCATTTGGTTTTTGTCAATGTCACTGTTTTAATATTACTTCATTGTGCTCAAGTGTTTACATATCAGTGTGTGCATTACAGCATATTTTGCTCTGTTTACTGACACCCACATAAGGAAACATCTTTGGTAACAGATTTCAAGCCAGGTTTAATATGTATTATAAAAAAGGAAAGGTTAATAATTCTATAGTAATAATACATTACACATTCTAAAATGTAAACTAGTTGTAAATATTAAATTTCTTACTTTTATTCTCCTAGAAGTCAGGGTGAACTACTCCTCCTATTCACTGACTACACAAATGTGCAAAGAAAATTAAATCATTGCAGGTATTACAAATATATTTTTTTATTTTCCTGTAACTTTTCATCTTATCATCCAATGATATATGAATAAATGGAGTAACATGTCAAATAGCACAAATATTGCTATTCATCATCACATCTTTTAAATAAGATTATCTTATACATATTTTATTGTAGGGTGTAGTTTACTCATTCATTTGTGTTATTCCTCAAGGATGCATGTAACCAACTGCTTCTGACACAGTTTTCATTCAAAATTGATATTTTTTGCTGATAATAGAGCATGCACTTTTTATGAATTAGCAGACTGCTTGTGATAGTCTTCTCATCTGTGTTATGAAAAACATGATGTCCTGAACAACAATTTGTGAGAAAGTGATGAGAAGTACAGAAGCAGCAGAGATGGAGAAGAGAGGAAAGAGGATCTACCATCTTTACCTGAGAGCTTTTCCTTTTTTTAACAAATTGGCTACAGTTTACTTGTTCAAGTGTGTGCGTGTGTTTGTTTGAGTGCATGTGTTTGGTAGTCTTTAGCTATTTGGGACTGCCCTGAGCTGACACTTTTTTTTTGTATGTAAAAAACAAATGCTGTAAATGTCTGTCTGTAAATTCTTGCATTGTTTAATAAAGGTTTTGTCATTGTCCCTATCTTAATAACTGTTCATCAATTACTCTGTCAGTTTTGCACCATCTATATGGGTCCATTTTCTTTCCTGCTGTAAATTATAAAACATAAAATCACAAACACATAGGGCCTAGTGTAGACAAAACCCAACAAATGTATAAAACCCTTTTACTGAGACAGAGTTTAACCGCACATTAATATGCCATTAAGAAAGCCAATTGAATGATCAGTGTATCGCTGTATTAGATCTATAATAATTGACTGATTTATAAGTATAAGTAAAGTCAGTATATGAGCTTGATGATAAATAATTCACTGTGGCATATAACACCAACTCCTTCAATCAGAGAGCAAATGATATGAACAGATGATATGAAGGATACTTTCTCACCTAAACAATCTCAGCTTCTTGCTAATGTGAAAGAAATGTAATTCAACTAAAGTTAGCGTGAAAACAAGAAAAAAAACCTCAAACTAAAGCTATTTCAAATTTGTTTGTACAAGGAATGTTTTGAAAGCACTCAAGGTAAATTATAGTAGGAACTATTCTGTCTGAAATCTGCAACACAAACCTCTGTCTGTTCCAAATCAGTCAAATAAATGTTCATTTAGTAACAGAAATCGTTCTGTACCAAAATGTAGCTGTTGTCCTGTCAACAGTCATTTTCTTATGATATTTTTACATTTTAAATTAAAAAACAAATTGTTTCACAAAGCCTGTATTTGTTGCACCACATAACCATTGAACTGTTACATCAGAACTAGTATAACTCCATGAGACACACTGTATTTATCATATTCACTCAACTTTGTAGGCGACTTAAAGTCTACATTAACAGTGCTGAGGCCTGTTGACACAATGAACAACAAATTACAGATGTTAGTGAAACAAACCCTTGACCAAAATGTGTTTCCTTGAGGAAAACTGAAAGGAGTAAGCTGTAATCAAACTGATCAGGAGGGCCGGTGA